CAAGGTGAGAACATTTTAATGGCAAATTTTAATGGATAATTTTGTAATCCTCGATGTCCTATCACTGCAGGGGAAAAGGAGGTCCTCTGACCCTTGACCTTCCACAATCAGGCCGACACAGTCACAAACACGGCGGGAAAGCTGAAGGAAAGGCCACAAGTATGGCCAATCACTCTCACACATACACATAGACATTAACATGTCTCTATATGAAGTTCCAGTTTCTCACAGTAATGCAAGAAGGAATTTTGTTTTCATCTGTGTCTAAGAAAGTGTAAGAAAACTCCAGATTTTTGTTGTACAGTTTTTCATAAAACTGCTTTTATCTAAGCAAGTGTTTCTTCCTATTAAGGTCAAAGCTGAACTGTAAGCTCAGAGTGAGAGAGTTTTGTTTTTTGTTAAATAATGATGACAAAATCTTAAATATCCATTTATCACTTTCTTAACCACTTATCCAAAGAAAGCGGAGCGGGCTGAAGCCTATCACAGCTGTGCTAACACTGGACAGATCTCCAGTCCATCACAAAGCTACTATGAAGGCATAGACACACCATTCACAACTACAGCCAATTTAGAATTGCCAGCTAACCTCATTGGGGCAACCAGAGTGCCAACCACGGCACCACCTCGCCTTCAAATTTGAAATGTAAAGTAAGCAGCAGTCCCCAATATGTCCCTCTATCTTTGCAACAGCACAGCCAAAAAAAAATCCTGGAACAATTCTTCTGAACCTCCAAACTCAAATACCGAATAAAGCCTTTCTGACATGGCTGCAGTCGGAAGGTTTTCCACTCATGCTGCTGCATACGTTAATCAGATAAAATCAAGAGTGTGATTCTCTGAATTGTCAGATTTTCCTCCTCTAACAGGGATTATATTTGAAGACACAACATTTTCAAAGTCAAACAGGTAAACCAATAACCTGGCGCTTACATAGCCAGCATACACAAAAGCATGACCCTGAAACCACAACAACTATGAAAGGAATTATTTTATAAACCTTTTGCTTTTTATGTTTTTTA